CTTTTTCCTCCTCTCTCATCCCCCCCCCCTCTCTCTCTCTCTCTCTCTCTCTCTCTCTCTCTGTCTTTCAAAATTTAATACGCTTCTTTTTCTGAATTCCTGTATTCTGACTGCATGTTAAGCGCAATTTTTAAACAATGGATGGGAGAAACTGTTTCATTCGTAACCACCTACGTGTTGTGTAGTTTTCCGTAAACATATGGTTTTTTATTGTCGTTTTTTCTTCAGTTGTTTGCCGTTTTGTCGAGATACACGTCAAACAAAATTCGTATAGCAATCAAAATATACCCTCTATTATGCAAGTGTTACTATATTTTTAATACATCCGCGAACTCGAACGCTATCGATGCTTTAAACCCGCAGACTATCTACCGCCGCCATCAATATCGGTAATAACAATAATAACGTCTCGACGGAAGACGACATGACGTAAATTCGATATCCTGAAAGATCTCGTCCACGACATTACAGATAGAGATTAGATTTGCCCGCGAGTTGCCGGATTACCCCGCGTGGCGCACAATATCGTGCGCGTCGGTGAACATCTGGTATACGCATGTGTCGTGTACGCGTACACGTACACGCGAGCACTAATGAGAACTTCACCAGAACCCGATAATTGGGGTTCGAAAACATTCTCCGATGAGCAGTATTATCAATGTCCGCGAATACCAAAAGTTTAATTATATGCGATTAAGATCCACTCAACTATTAATCCATTTATAGACAAATCGACGAATTCGTTATCGTACAATAATTACACGTAATTGTGCTTCTTGATTACAGCATTGTAAAATCATCATTTTGTTACCAACGAAAAATCACAAATATTAACGCAAAAATTGCATGCAATAGAGTCTCGAACAATTCACAGAACCATCTTCCACAGCTTTAAAACATACGGATACTTCACGAAGCATAAAGCGATCGGAAACGCGACTCGATACAGCGATCAATAAGTACATTTGTAGACGTCATAGTGATTTCAAATAGAAACTATGGCAAAGCAAGACTTTCGTGTTTCTGATACGCGTGCAATTGTTTCACGGTAAAATAAGAATCAATTAATAAAAAGAGATTATCCTAACAAAAATACCAAATGTCGAATTGAAGCGAGAATTAATCTATGGTAAAAACCAAGAAATCTCAATTCGCATTGGTCATATTGCGAGGCGCCAATGTTCTGATTTTAACATAAAATTGTAGATATATGCCAGAATTCTATAAATTATTTAGTTTTTAATTTAGTTTGTGTGTTTCAACGTGTATTATGAGTATTGAAAAGTGTGTTTACTACTATAAATTAACGGCGTGCGTTATAATTTAGATGAAAAGTAGAAATGATTTGTTACCTTTAAACCAAACTTAATTATACAGAGCATCCTCTGTACCGAAAACCGGTTTCCTTCCACGAAGCTCTGTCAGACACTCTCTTTCCCACATACAAGAAGATTTCTCAAGTGTATTTGAGGTTTCTCCTCTTAAAGCTGACATGAGTATGATTAATGAAAAGGCGCTTCTCTATACATTGACTATAAAATGACAGTAAAAATTATAAAGAATCAATACTCTAATTAAGAATATGTATTGAATATTAGTTTTGTTCTATAATACCCGTGTTTAACCGAAGTGACAACCGCATGTGGAGCGACAACGAGAGCATAAAGATGAAATAAAGATTAGCAAGAGACAGCGCGGACGCGTAAGCGAACTCGATGCTTCTTCCGGAGACCATTCGTTCCGTATGCTCCGCTGAACACAGCGCGCTATTTACAACCAGAAGCGCTCCTCGCTCGCATAAAGGCGAGTTCCCGAAGGGTTCGCCGCGATCTACCCGTTGCCAACTGTACCTAGTGAGCTCTCCTCTCCGGCGGCCTACCTACACGAGCGGGAAGATTTCTTAAGCGACGACCGCGACGACGTAGCACTCCCACGAGCTACGCGAACGCCGTTAAAATAGAAAGCGCGCGGCGATGGCGGCAGCGGTGGCGTACGCTCGCCGAAGAGAGAGACTGTTCCGGGGTAGGAGGACCGTGAGGGGATGCGAAATGATCTCACGAGGGAGACGAAGTTCCGTAAGTAGCCAGCCTCGCGCTGTACGCGGCGAGGAAGGCGAGGCGAGCCACCTCGTCGCTCTGAACCTGGGAAAGAGGGTCAGGTCAGGTCGTCCTGGCGCGCACGAGGACGACCGACGGCGCACCGCCGACTCGAGGCAGCAGCAGCAGTAGCCGAGCTAGGCGCGCGGGATTAGATTGCTACAGATGGGATGCGAGAGCCTGGCCGTATCTCGAGAATGCCAATTTGATTTCGGTACGAACGGCGGAAGACCGAGCCGGAAGACCGTAAAGTATACAACAAACGCAGCGCAACGAACCCTACGTCGCGACCAGCAGGCTGCAGCCGGACCGGCGCGCGGTCTGGAGTGGTTCCTTCGAGAGGCGTGCATTCTGAAAATCCATCTGCTCTGTTACGATGTACGGGGGGTACCGGTGTAATATCGCAATATGCTCCATATAAATCCCCGTAATTGGATCGATTTCCCCATAGAGAGGCTCACGAGCCTCTCTACTTCGAAAACCGATTCGACGCGATGTCGTTGTAGTAGGGTTTAATTATCGTGACAATAAATGATACGCAAGTCGACGAATATTCGCGAATGGGTATCGAGAGGCCATTAAAGAAAGTGTAACTCGCACGAGAATCTCGGTGAGGAGATGAGAGAGGAGGTAGAGAACCTCGCTGTCGACATTGCAGACTTGGAAGTACAACGGAAAGATTCGAGAAATAACGAGTTTTGAATCGTCCGCATCGCTGATAAGAGAATCTCTCTCGAGAAAAGAGCACGGATATTTCTTATATTTCACTTCGGTAACTACGATGTACTTTGCTATAATACTCGATGATACGGCACGAATTTTTCATCTCGCATTGCAAAACGTAAAGCTAATATTACTCTCTCTTTCCGCTCCCGTTCCTTTCTCTCTCTCCGACGACACGTCAAAGATGGCAAATTGACGAAAATTTCGAGAAATCGCGTCTCAATTAATTTCGTTCATCTGCCATGTAAGAAATGCACGTGGCAACATCATTCAATATTATACCGGCGGAAGCTACGCTCTGTCTAATGCACACAGCCAAGCTCCGACTCGCATGCATCCTCTACGATCGCACATCTACACAGCCGCAATCGCATATCTCCGACGCATCATCCTATTTCCGTACAATTACGAGTAACATTATCTATGGAAATTGCCACTTTACCCGGGCGCGGTAGGTACGCGAGGATTAAACTCAGTGTATTCAAACCTTAACATGGACTTTAATATAAATAGCGAGAGGTCTGGCGATAGCAGATTTCATCATTAGCGTAGAAGGACATAACGAAACGAGTGGAAGGCTGAGAAAGTTTCCTCATGAAAAAAGAAAAGCAGAGAAAGTTGATGAGAGAGAGAGAGAGAGAGCAAGAGCAGATTATGACACAGCTAGGAACGGGGAAGAAGAAGATGGAGGTGGAGAAGGAAAGTCGCGCAGAGCCCGAAACGAAGTCTCTTTAACGATGGAACCGATGAAAGCGCTCCTATTAGCATTCTATATAATCTACTCGCGAGTGCATTCGAGCAGCGATATACGACCGAAGCTTTGCAGTTCGTGAGTACTCGCGTAGTCTTCGAACTGCGGCAAGAGCCACTTTGTAAGTTGCAGCAACCAAGGCTCGCGGACTAACTCGCGCCGATCGAAAGTTCGCATTGGTTTGGCGGGTTTGTGATTCCGCCGCTCTGCCTTTCCGACGATCGCGCGTTATTCCCGCACATCGGATATAATATCGCCGTACAACGGCACGTTACGACATTAACTTCTTGTAGTATTAATTGTATATCTGGTAGCCCATGGATGCGAGCGGATGTATTAGCGACGTGAAGTAGCGAACGGAAATCAATACACTGAAAAGAGAAAAGCATGGCAATAACGGCAACTATATAAGTGACAACTACTCAAGTTTTTATACAGTAGAATTGCAATACATACAGGATGTTTAAAAGAAAGGTTTCAAAACCTATAAAATAGACAGATAGTCACTGACAATCTTAATGACGCCGAGCTGGCGTCATTAAAATGGCAATCTTAATTACCGAAACGAGCTTAATTCATAAGATCTTTGATCAAATTTTTTGAAGAGCGTATGCAGTGGAATTTATTAATTTGGCTATCTTGCCACATAGAGCTGCCGTCGGGCAGCTAGAATATTTCCACTGACAAGACCATACATGAAAAATGCATGTCTGCCATCTCCCGATTAAAATAATAGATAATATTAAATAAGTCAGTATAATCAAAAGGATTTTTGATGCTATATCTCTTAAGCACTGCTTATAATTCTTAAACACTGTGTAATCTCTGATCAAAAGGGCAAATAACCATATCATACGGAAGCAAGATGATAACATAAATATTATTATGTAGTAATAGAACTGACTCGAAGAAGACCAGATATTTTAGAAACAGAACATGTAAATACTTTTTGTAAAAATTAAAATAATAATATAGTAAGATACTCACGCGCGCTTATTTATTCACCGCGCATGATCAATGGAAACATACAAGTAATTTGCGTTACTAAAACCGAAAAACATTTCTAACTCTAAAAGAGTTAATTTTTCTATCTATGTTTACTACACATGTTTTACTTAATATAATCAGTACTGTCTACTCTATAAGTCGTGAACATTTTTTCTTGCATTTTTTTCTTGCATAATCATATTAAACCTATATAAAAATATACATTAATTCAACATACGAAACTCGTATAGTTGTCATCTATGTAGTTGCAATTACCGTGTTTTTTCTCTGAGTATATCTCAGAAATCGAGGCATTTTTATTTCAAGTTTGCTGTTTCACGCGCATTTCCATCACTCGATGGAAACAATAATTATAATTATAAAAATAATTTGAATAACTGTAGTGCGATTTATTAACGATAACGAGACACAGCATTACTCACCGACTACTTCGAGATAGCCGATCTGGCTTTTCATGGGGTCCGTGTTTATCTGACACATGTACCAGCCCCGATCGGCTTGCCGCACCTCCCGTATGTGAAGGAACCACGTCCGATGGTCGCTATGGGAAACCGCGATCCTGTGATTCTTCGTGATCACGTGGTTCGCTATCGTCAAAATAGTCTGCGTGTCGACGCGCAACCAAGCCACCTATAATCACCAAATCAAAGTCACATGCGTCATTATCGGTGATGTACGTTAACGACGGACTGCATGTTAAATATGCATTGACGTTGAGAGCTTTAGTCGATCGAGGTTCATTCAAATTATCTCGAATTTCGCAATTGTTATCGACACACGCGTTCAAATAGAAACTTTGAAGTAGCTCAATTATCTCCGCGTAAAGCATGCTTGTTATTTATAAATCGATTTCTTTTTATGATTCGTTACCTGTCAAGAGAAAATTCGTGACATGGATGTGTCAATTACTTTTGGACTGTTTAGCTTTTAACAGTTCCCGTGAATCCGAACGCTATTTCCGTTTTAGTAATATAAATTGATGTGGAATTATTTATCGACGGACAATGGAAGATATCTGTAAGGACTGACCAGTCTAAATTTAATTATAGCGACGTCTTATTTATCACTATAAAAATCAAAATAGTCGATACGACAAATTTGGAATTTCCTATAAAGATTATTTAAATTTATGATACACTTTACATTTTGCAATTTATATTTTTAACTGACATTAAAACTGAAAAGAATGAATAATTTGTTTTCCTCTTAAATTATATCTTTTTTTCCAAAACTCTGCCATTCTGATCGATCTGACAGAGACAGACTGTTAATCGTCTCAGCAGTTTTAGTATTATTCTAAAAGCGTGTCCTAAAATTTGTATATGTGTAATAGTGCAATTAAAAGAAAATAGAATGTAATATATACATTTTGCGCAATGACGCAAGTTGTTAATGTCGGAATTAATAATAAATATTCGAGACGCGCATTCTCGTTAAGGGAAAGAAAAACTGCCTCCTTTCCGTAAGACGTGCGGTCGAGACCGACATCCTCGCTTTAATTCATAAGTCTCCAGCCGACTTTTGTATTCCAGCTCAACGGACCAGCGATTCTTTTCCCGCCGTCTACCTTTCTCCAGCATTCGCCTTCGGATTATTCCCCCTCGGTTTCCGGTCCGTCCATATCAATTATAATTTTTCACGGCGCGGTCGCTCCACCAGAGAAATAAAACGCCACGGAATCATCCGGACGGCGAACGTGGCCGTTCCGTTATTATATTATTCCAACAGTTTAATGTTCTTTTATTCGCGAGTTATTCGCGCCGCGTACCATATAACGAAGTTTCGTAGATAATTGCCATTAGTTTGTTGCATATTGTTCGCACTCAGTAGTCGATAGAGTGATTTATAGTAATTTGCGGTTGAGGAGGTGTATCAAACCTCAGCGAGGAATAAACTAACGCGAGTTATGACATTAAGGAAATTACATATAAGTCACAAAGTCGCGGATTACAAGGAGCGAATGACCTGAACTTTCAACTCGCAATCCGACGCATCATCGACCAAACACGTCCGTCGTCGTTAGATTTTTTTATTAAATGCCTCAAGCGTTAATCAACGAATTACTTGAGAATAGTGCGCTTTTTCGTCACGTATTTTATTTACATGCTAAATTTATGCAGCAATTATATTTTCTTTTCCTAACAAAAAAGTAGTAGTAGCAATATGCACATAAGATTATTACCATTAAGTTATTCAACGATTATGTCATGTGGAATTTGAATATTTTTTATTTCACTCTTCTGTGACTTTCACATATTATCACAAAGTTTGGGCCCGCATCATTTTTATGTATATATAATGTAATATTTCCCGAAATAAATATTTCAACACAGAATATGACATTCTATGGTTATTTCTACTCCTCTCGTCATCACAGACCATCGTGACCAAACTAATAGATCTACTTTTCCTCCCCCCCTCCCCCCGTCGTGATATGACAATTATCGAGTAACATTTCTAATATAATATCTAAATAAAATGACACTGCAAAAATGATTTTTCTGGCAGATTCCCTCATTGTGCGATTAGAATGGCAAATGCCAAACATTTTTTCTCAATGTAGTTATCCCGATATCCGCATAGAAAGCAAGAAAAAAAACAGGCATTATTGATATTAAACAAATCGACGAAGCGTTTCCAATATTCCTCCGTTTCTTCGCCGTTTATCGCGTATCCGCGCAATTTTCTCAAGCGTAATACGTTCGATTACGCGATTGGCGTTTTTCTTTGTGGCGCATCGCGAAAGAGAGAATTTCCTCCCACGAACGTCGAGGTATAAGGGAGAGGGGTGTACTTCAGGCGTTCTTTAAAGTGATCATCAGCTGTCTCGACCTCAGTAAAACACGAGGCACGGCCTCGGGGCACAAGATATCATAGACATGTCACTCCAGAAATTATAACGCGAGTGGTATCCGGGAATAAATGTTTGCGCACCGAAATAGCAATTCCATTATTCCATGCCTTTGAAGATAGAGGATGCATGCGCGGTGCGGGCGCGCAAATGTTACACCGCGAGCGTATTCCGCTGTACGCATCATAGGCTGCCTTCCATGCACATGTGTGTACGTTCGCAAAAGACAGAGAAGAAGTTACAAACATACGAGCCGGAAAATGTAACAAAACCGCTCGTGTGAATAGCTCTAGCTCTTTCTTTCTCTCCCTGCTATTGCCACTGCTACCGCGGTTGCTGTCTGGATTTTTCGAGCGTAGGATTTTTCTTAACAACTCGATTTGTCACACGTGCGCAATGAAAACCAGCTGCTCGTTTACAAGTTGCAAGTTCGCCCGTTACTGAGACGATGGCTCTTTCGTAAGATCGCGATCACCGTTTTAATGAGTCGCGCTTTTCCTGCGCGGATAAATGTTACAACGGAAATACTTGGCATCGCCGTAGCACTCTAACATTAACACTTTATAAAGCACGGACTGCGCTGTGTTTTATTTATCAGCCGTGTATGCGAATGATACACGGGCGATAGGAGTGGCTGAATGGAGAGTGATATCCTACTGCATCGAAGAATGTAAAAATGAGAATCGCAGCATTCGTAAAAAAATTACATATTTTGCACGTTCCCCTGAACGGTTCTTAAATCCGTCGTCCAGCGCCAACAGCAAAAGTGGCGGCGGTCTCGTGAGGAATCAACCGCGTAAAAGTACATCGAAAAGTACGTGTCTAAAGTAAATAGTTAAAAAAAAAACGAAAAAGCAAAAGTACTTGGAGTTAGTAGCCAACTGATGTATCACGTTAATCTCGACAACGACGAGAGGACGGTACAGTGCTTGATTACCGAGCTGTCTCGACTCTCTCGATTCACACACACACACACTCTCTCTCTCACTCCCTTTCTCCGTCGACCTTTAATCCCGCATTCGACCGCGTCGATTACTCGAGTAATTATCCCAAATGACGTAGCCGCGAAGTCACTGGTGTGACGGAAAGTACGGAGAACACGGCGCAGAGAGAGCGCGAGAGGAGATCCGGAACACGTGCGTCTACCGCGAGGGACTCTCGGATGCAGATATCAAGCCAGGCGCCTGTAAATCTGCCAGGGAGCGGTGTGAAACGCTGGGTGGTTGGATTAGGAGAGGTAGAGGTCGAGAACTGGTCGACCACCTAGTCGGAAGCACCGCTATGAACTATTGCATTTGATATCCACACCGATGAATGGAAACGTTGAGCGCCCTGTCCAGCGGCCATGCCGCCATCTCTGACCACGATGAACGTGAATGCAGGTATAATGCCCCATCGTGCTTCCGCCAACTATGATAACCAAGTATTTACGACTGCAAGCCATCGCGAGTTTCTGTAATTTACGGAGACTCGGAGAACCCGGCCCGCGTCGGCGACTATGTGTCACGCACGCTTGCCTGGCAACCTTTTTCCGCGTAAATTTCGCGACTTCTCGCGACTTCAACGGTGTAAACGTACCCGCCCAAAATCGCCCCGCGTTTCTCTCAGAGTTCAAGAGCGAGAGACTATTTAGTTGTTCTTGAATTTTGTAACGAGAAAAGAGGTTACTCGATGCGACACAAATTGCCCAAATTCGAAATCATTTCGTAATTACACCTCGTCCCACATCCCCTTCTTTCACAGCGCGCGAAATGTTCATCTGTAACACTAACGGCGCTAATACCTTCGCTACGGCTTCCAACACAACTACATTTCCGTGGAACCTCACTGAATGTTCGTACACACAAGCCGTATCCGCCGGCGCATCCGTCGTAACTTGTTTCGCGCGACAGCTCTCCCGACTTTCCCGACATCCGCGACGTATTCCACGGAAACATTCGGCTCAATTTCTACTTCTCAATTTCCGGCCCGAATCCTCCCACTCCTTCTATATCTCCTCCGCGTCTTCTAGCCGCGGTTCGCTCGCTCGTTCGTCGCTTCCTCGAACTTTTTGACAGGTCGGCTCGGACAGGGACGTGAGTAAAGATTTTAAGCAACTTCATTCGTGCGAGCGAGCGACCACGATCTTACGGTTCGTGTGGTCAGTAGTTGGGGATTAGACTCATCGCGAAAACCCGAGATTAGACTAGACTCGTAAGATTAATTTTCCAGAGTCGTGTGTGTGTGTGTGTGGCGAACGGACGTCGGTGACGGTAACGACAAAGACGAAGACGATGGCGAGGACGAGGACGACGACAGTTCGGAAAAGCGCGTAGAGAACTTTTACGACTTTACACGAGAAGTCCATCTTGGATCGTATATTTCCACGCCGCCGGTATTCAGACCGCGTCAGAAAACCCGCTGGAGCGCTTTAAATCAGTGCCAACAAGCAAGCACCTTTGATTAGAGACGGTATGGTTGTTTCATACCCCCCCCCCCC